AACAAGAGTGCCAACCAGCACCGACTTAGCGGCTATAACAGCACCACAATAGTGGCTAACAACACTGACTTAGCGACTAGAACAGCACCACAATAGTGGCTAACAACACCGACTTAGCAGCTATAACAACAACATACAGCTCAACATTAATCAACACAACAATTCAGCTCATAACACAGTTAAGTAGAAATCAACATAGCCTACTACTCACAACTTAGCTCATCATTCTAGAGCACAACAATATTATATGATACAGCACATAAAATCATCAATAATAGCTCAGCATAATCTTCCAATTTTGCTTAATTCAGCATAAGATAACCTCTCTCAGCAAGTTCAGCCAATTTAAACAACCACTAGTCATCAAGTTAACATCCTCATACGTGCCCGGCGCGCCCATTGATGCGCTCAGCGTGGCACATCCAGAAGTATCACGGGGATCAGCACGCCCGGCGCAAGCATGCTCGCGCCTAGCGTACCTCAACCAGAAAGCTCAAGGCTCTCATACGCCTGACACAATTCTCAATTGCGCCCAGCGCAAGCCCAGGCAGAGACTCTCAAGAGTTTCACACGCCTGGCGTAGCCTAACTCGCGCCCAGCGCAGGGAAGGCAGAGACCTACCACGGTCTCGCGCCCGGCGAAATGCGCATTGCGCCCAGCGCCCTCTTGGCAAAGACCCACAAGGATCCCCCGCGCCCAGCAAGGCCAAACACGCGCCCAGCCTGGCACCAGAAACCCCAAAACATGCCACCTATTGATAGCACGTCTGGCGCAGTCCAATCCACGCCCGGCGTGGGTCATCCAGAGGCTCACATTCACAAGCTCGCCCGGCGCACACACCTTTGCGCCCGGCGGGCTTGCCTGAATGAAGCCCCAGGTTGTCACGCGCCCGGCGTGAAGAACTGCGCTCAGCGTGCAGCTTAGTAGCAACCCACCAAGTTCAAAAATCTAGTCCGAAACCTGCAAAAGTTTCCATTCCCAGCACATGCAGTCCAGCCAAAAGCCCTTATTACCATCAAAGATCAATAAAAACACTACATTTCTCACATGCAACCACGAAACAAGAATTATTCAAAATTTTCTCAAAACTCCAAAAAAACCCAAAACCATTTATTTCCTCCTTCTCAACCACAATCATCAAACTTCAGCAGCCAATAAGTTCTTAGAACTCAATTTGATCCAAAAACGATAAAAAAACCTAGCTTCCCTTACCTTGGTGAAGAATCCGAGCTTCCGGGAAGAGACAATGGAGAAGGAGATGAAAGGGAGCTTGAACGGAAGAGGAAGAAGAAGCTTTGAGAAGAGACCACACAA